AAACAAAACTATTGTCTCTAAAAGCGGTGAATGCGATTTTGATTAGACAACAAATCTCAAGAAAATAAAGAAAACAGATCAGAAAGCTTTAGTTCAATTTGGTAAGAGGGTTGGGGGGGGGGGGTAGATGGGTGGGTGTTGTGTAAACACCCCATGCCATTTCTCTAGATTCGGCTGTTGTTATAGTGAACATACCTTAAAGTCTACTTCCGCTTTAGATTTAACAACTTACTTAAACAATCAGTATTGTTATAGAGGAAAGGTGGGGGTTGAGATTTCTACCCCCACCCCTCCAAAAGAAAATGCCCACATTCCTTGCTTACGTCAGGATATATTTGTAGACCCCAAGACCAAAAAACTGTGTTATTGACAGTACATCGTCTAAAAGAATTTGTCGTCAGTACTTTGTGGGAAAATCTAAAGGAATCTTCTTCTTCGTTCTTAATTATTAGTGTTGAAGGGGATCGAGATTTATCTGCCAGTGCGTTTGAACTCGAGACTTTGTTCGAATCGATCAACCATGAGCTTTTTGCCGACTCGACCACGCCGCCAACACAATTAAGCGTTACGTGTCAACTGGTTATGCGCCATTGAGGCCATTGACTCCGATTTCAGCCTGCTTTTCTTTTTGGATTTGCTTCCATAGCCTTTGTCCAACCAAGAACAAACTACAAGGCAGCAGTTGTTTAATTTTGGAGTTGTCTCTCCTGGAAGAGTGGCTGTCCCCAGCTAACGAGCCTCATCTGCCCGAGGGTTCGAACTCGAGACTTTTCGGTTTAGCAACCATGTGCTTTACCGACTCGACCACGCCGACCCCTTCTAAAGTACTTTAGATCAGTACTTTCTGGGAAGGTCTAAAGGAATTGTCAGTACTTTGTGGGAAAATCTAAAGGAATTGTCGAAAATACTTTGTGGAAAATCTAAAGGAATTATGATCAGTACCTTCTGGGAAGGTCTAAAGGAATTGTCAGTACTTTGTGGGAAAGTCTAAAGGAATTATCATCGTGAGTACTCACCCAATGACCTTCCCATGTATTCATAATGAGAGCTGGGCCAAAGCTGCGAGCTGGATTCAATCCGGCTCTGGTGTAGGGAATCTGCAGATAAGGCATGATAAACAAAAAGTTTAAGGAATGATTGAAATGCGATCTAATGTTGATTGGTCAAGCATCAACTCTTCAATCATGCCATAACACATTTTACAAACTAGTACCAAATGCCGAACACCCACACTAAATCATAACCCAAGCTAAAGCTGTATCATGAACAGAACCAAGCAGAGTTTCTTCCAGGCATCTCTTGCCCCCCCCCCCCCCCCCCCCCCAAATTTTTACCGCCCCCCCCAACGAAATGAAATTTATATAATTTATATAGAAAATATATACTTTTAACAGTGTCCGCCCCCCCCCCCCCCCGAAGAAAGTCTACCGCCCCCCCCCCCCCGAAAATTTCAAGTGCCCCCCCCCCCCCCCCGGAGAGAAAAAGACTGGAAGAAACACTGGAACCAAGTCAATTATTGAAGTATAGCTACGGTTGGTATCAGTTATTCGAATAGTCTATAAAGGAATTGCTATTTTATTTGAACCGAATAACATTCTAATTCGCTAATCGACTTTAATGAGGAACTTAATTACATCAGCTTAATGTGATACATGCGTAAGGTAATGCAGGAAGCAATTTTTTTACAGCTAATTAAGACAAGACAAACATCCGGAAGTGGGGGTTGGGTGGCGGGTGGGGGGGGGGGGGGTACTTACAGCAAACAGGTGGCAGACGACGACGGCCAGACCAATCGTGAGGGGGGCTGACCCTCTGAGGTCAGTTCGCTTCTCATCCAGGCAGGCGAAGAAGGTCAGCACGTACACAAAGGTGACCAGCAGCTCCACGCCGAACCCTGGGGGGAGGAGAGAAATGGGTGAGGGAAGAAATGGGTGAGGGAAGAAATGGGTGAGGGAAGAAATGGGTGAGGGAAGAAAATGTATGAGGGGAAGAAAATTTTTGGGGAAGAATATATTAGGGGAAGAAAATTTTTGGGGAAGAAAATATTGGGGGGAAGGGAAGTTTAGGGGAAGAAAATATTAGGGGAAAAAATACTAGGGGAAGACAATTTTAAGGGAAGAATTGGTTGCATAATTTGCTCAATTATGTAAGATTTTGATTGTTGAAATATGCATTGGTGGCAACATTTTTGTGTGGTTCTACAAATCAGTATATGCCCAAGTGTTACTTATTACAACGATTAACTTTTCAAGGCGCAAAACAGACACAAATGAAGTAGAATTTATCTGGGACAGTACAAGACACGAATGAAGTAGAATTTATCTGGGACAGTACAAGACACGAATGAAGTAGAGTTTACCTAGGACGGTACAAGACACGAATGAAGTAGAGTTTACAGGGGACAATAGAGTTTACCTGGGACGGTACAAGACACGAATGAAGTATAGTTTACCTGGGACGGTACAAGACACGAATGAAGTAGAGTTTACCTGAGGCAGTACCAGACACGAATGAAGTAGAGTTTACCGGGGACGGTACAAGACACGAATGAAGTAGAGTTTACCTGAGGCAGTACCAGACACGAATGAAGTAGAGTTTACCGGGGACGGTACAAGACACGAATGAAGTAGAGTTTACAGGGGACAATAGAGTTTACCTGGGACGGTACAAGACACGAATGAAGTATAGTTTACCTGGGACGGTACAAGACACGAATGAAGTAGAGTTTACCTGGGACGGTACAAGACACGAATGAAGTAGAGTTTACCGGGGACGGTACAAGACACGAATGAAGTAGAGTTTACCTGAGGCAGTACCAGACACGAATGAAGTAGAGTTTACCTAGGACGGTACAAGACACGAATGAAGTAGAGTTTACAGGGGACAATAGAGTTTACCTGGGACGGTACAAGACACGAATGAAGTATAGTTTACCTGGGACGGTACAAGACACGAATGAAGTAGAGTTTACCTGGGACGGTACAAGACACGAATGAAGTAGAGTTTACCGGGGACGGTACAAGACACGAATGAAGTAGAGTTTACCTGAGGCAGTACCAGACACGAATGAAGTAGAGTTTACCGTGGACGGTACAAGACACGAATGAAGTAGAGTTTACCTGAGGCAGTACCAGACACGAATGAAGTAGAGTTTACCGGGGACGGTACAAGACACGAATGAAGTAGAGTTTACCTTGAGCTGATGTGACTTCCGGTGCGAGGACGTTGGCGCCGAGGATGCCGTGGTATTTGACGGGGGTGAGGCCGTACAAGATGGCGGCTCCCACAATTCCTCCAACAACTTGGGCGATGATGTACAACACACCTCTGTAAGGTTCAGATAAGTGGGGGGGGGGGGGAATGTTATTTGATTAAAAAAGTATGGCGTGCATATATGATGACATGTCATTTGAATAGGATGTTATGATGTGTTTAGGTGTCGACATTCATGTGTTAGGACGTTATGATGTATGGATGTGGTGAAATGTCATTTCTTCATTACATTTGCCGTTTCTTTTTCATGTTTTGGTCAAGAATATTATGTTTAAAAGATAAAGCAATTGGTTTAAATATTAAGACTAAGATGAGCAACAACAGCAACAAAACCAACAACACAAAATACAAGCTACATAGCACCAACAATATCATAGAATGAAAATTAAAATGTAAAAACAAAAAAAAAACAACAAAAAAAAAACAACAAAAAAAAAAACAACAGCAACCAATGGTCATGCACTGTGAAACAGGTAAAGAAAGATGATAGCAGTGATGACCAGTGTTTCTTCCAGGCATCTCTTCGGGAGGGGGGAGGGGGGGGGGGCGAGAAAAAAGTCTACCCCCCCCCCCCCCGAACGAAATGGAATTTATTAAAAAAAAATACTTTTAACGGAGATTTTAGTCCGCACCCCACTCCTGAAAATGTCAAATGCCCCCCCCCCCCCCCACCCGAACAAAAAAGTCTGGAAGAAACACTGGTGATGACGCAATGTTTACATCAACGAAAGGATGTCATCGGCGATGACGCAAGGCGAGGCTCCACTGACCTGATGATGCTGACCCGCCTAGTGAAGAGGGCGGCGATGGACACGGCCGGGTTGACGTGACCCCCGGAGATGTGGTTGAACACCCAGACCACCGTGGCCACGGTCAGGCCAAAGGTCAAGGCCGTGGGCACGCTGCCACCGCCGAGCTGCCATGACGACCAGGTTCCACATCCCAGCAGGGTGATGACTGGTGGATAAAGATCATTTTTAGGTGATGACTGGTGGATAAAGATCATTTTTAGATGATGACTGGTGGATAAAGATCATTTTTAGGTAATGACTGGTGGATTAAGATCATTTTTAGGTGATGACTGGTGGATTAAGATCATTTTTAGGTGATGACTGGTGGATTAAGATCATTTTAAGGGGATGACTGGTGGATAAAGATCATCTTTAGTTGATGAATGGTGAATAAAGATCATTTTTAAGTGGTGACTGGTGGATAAAGATCATTTTTAGGTGATGACTGGTGGATAAAGATCATTTTTAGGTGATGACTGGTGGATAAAAGATCATTTTTAGGTGATGACTGGTGGATAAAGATCATTTTTAGGTGATGACTGGTGAATAAAGATCATTTTTAGGTGATGACTGGTGGATAAAGATCATTTTTAGATGATGACTGGCGGATAAAGATCATTTTAGATGATGACTGGTGGATAAAGATCCTTTTTAGGTGATGACTAGTGGATAAAGATCATTTTTAGGTAATGACTGGTGGATTAAGATCATTTTTAGGTGATGACTGGTGGATTAAGATCATTTTAAGGGGATGACTGGTGGATAAAGATCATCTTAGGTGATGACTGGTGGATAAAGATCATTTTTAGGTGATGACTGGTGGATTAAGATCATTTTTAGGTGAGGACTGGTGGATTAAGATCATTTTAGGTGATGAGTAGTGGATAAAGATAATTTTTAGGTGATGACTGGTGGATAAAGATCATTTTAAGGGGCATGACTGGTGGATAAAGATCATTTTAAGGGGATGACTGGTGGATAAAGATCATTTTTAGGTGATGACTGGTGGATAAAGATCATTTTAAGGGGATGACTGGTGGATAAAGATCATTTTTAGGTGATGACTGGTGGATAAAGATCATTTTTAGGTGATGACTGGTGGATAAAGATCATTTTTAGGTGTTGACTGGTGGATAAAGATCATTTTAGGTGATGACTGGTGGATAAAGATCATTTTTAGGTGATGACTGGTGGATAAAGATCATTTTTAGGTGATGACTGGTGGATAAATATCATTTTTAGGTGATGACTGGTGGATAAAGATCATTTTTAGGTGATGACTGGTGGATAAAGATCATTTTTAGGTGATGACTGGTGGATAAAGATCATTTTTAGGTGATGACTGGTGGATAAAGATCATTTTAGGTGATGACTAGTGGATAAAGATCATTTTTAGGTGATGACTAGTGGATAAAGATCATTTTTAGGTGATGACTGGTGGATAAAGATCATTTTTAGGTGATGACTGGTGGATAAAGATCATTTTTAGGTGATGACTGGTGGATAAAGATCATTTTTAGGTGAAGAATGTTGGCTAAAGATCATTTTAGGTGATTGGGATAAAGATAATTTTACATGTGGTTGGGTGGGATAAAGATCATCTTAGATGCGCAAGGGTGGGATAGATAAAGATCATCTTAGATGTGGGTGGGTAAGAAAAAATAAAAATACGAGAATTTGGTGTGTGGGAAAAGATCATAACTTTTTTGTGTTGAATAAGATAATCTAAGATGCTGACCGATGGGGGTGGAATAAAGATCATATATGATGTTGGTGAATAAAACTGATTATACGTTTGTTGATTGGTAAAGATCAAAAGTTTGGTAGGTGGATACAATTCATCACTGAGGCATGACGGTGGTTAAAGATCATGCACTATATGCCTCTGGTCGGATAAAGTTCATCCATTAATTCGATGGGTAGATTTAAATGTTGAAAGGTTAATAAAGATCGTTCGCTAAAAGCTATTTTTTAAGAGCTCGATAAATTCGTTGTCGATTATTATTCCCGCCCATAATTATAATTAACAATTTGAAAATATGTTTTCCGTCAAGCAACCAATACTTCAGCCTCCCCGTGTTACTGCAGGTTTTCTCATTTGGGAGTAAACGGCGAAACAAAAATTTTGATTTAATTTTTAAAAAGTTGTCTTAACAATGTCTGTGCATACATACATACATATACACATTTTTGAGCTTACAGTTTATAAAAGGTGTAAAGCATACGGGACTAGAATTCAGTTATAATTAAGACTATGATTAAGTTGAGAGTTAGTGTTTTAATTAGCTTCCTAGAATTAAAAATAGTTGTTATATATAGTAGATAAAAATATAACTTAAAAGAAATCGCATTAACATCTATTTTCAGAAAAAAATATTAAAGTCATTACCAGTTTAGCGAAATATTATTCTATTATTTCTATAGTGACAGCTTACACCAGCAACTTGTATAAGTAATTAATTAGTAACTAGTAATTAATAATGTAGTCATATATATATATATATATATATATATATATATATATATATATATATATATATATATATATATATATATATAACCTTCAGAGTTACCAACTTGTATAAGTAATTAACCATACAACAATATAAAATTGTAGCTATATTAGCCTGTATGTCTACTAGTAATGAACGACACAATATAGAAGTGTTGTAGTAAAAAAAAAAGAATTGAGTTCCACTTACTCAGGGTTCCGGCAAACTCCGAAGTCAAGGCCAACCACAGGTTGGGAGTTCGAAGATCCTCGACGTTTTCCTTCATGATATCATACATGGCCCGCTCAACGTCAACTGCTGGTAAAGTTCTGAGTACTATCGTCTGCCGAGTCCACACAAAAAAAATTTAATCTTTTTTTTTTTTTACTCTACTACACAGCCCTACCTCATTGGTTACTTGTAAAACTGAAGCGGTTAAGACCAGCGCCTAACCCACGCTAGCCCCCGGGTCAACTCTTTGGGTTGCCCGCCCTGGCACTTGATGCAATTTTATCCCCCCCCCCCCAATCCCCCACCCCCACGCTGAACCCCTCCCCCTACTGAAGTACGGCGTGAGTAAATGGCGCGATGGTGTGTGAGGGGAGGGAGGGAGGGGTGGGACTGTGAGATAGATAAACAGATAGGAACCACAGAGTTATTTGAATGCGTTCCTGTCCCAGCTTCAGTGAGCCCCTGTTCGCGAAATATTTCGCGCTGCCCAGCAAAGCCGTCTTATCATTACATACTTTTATTTATTTTACACATTAAAAAACACATTTTATTCTACCTATAAACTTTACTTAATGATTGTTCTCTTATCTTATGCGTCTTCTAACAATTCTATTTCATCACTAGTTAATTTTTTTTACTAAACAGATTTTGCTATCAACGCAAGGTATAGGCTACAATGTGGAAAAACAAATGCTACATATGACTGTACATCTGTCTTCTATACTAGGCGATCTCCTATAACAGGCTGCTAACTATAATAAAGTTTTTTTTACTAAGGAAAAATTTGGAACTACTGGAGAAAAAGCGGCTCCAAACAGAGCTAAAGATTAGGCGTGGTGTTAGGGCAGGAGCTAAAGATTAGCTGGGGTGGTAAGATCACAGCTAAATATTGGTGGGATCTTAGGGCTGGAGCTAAAGATAAGTGAGATGTTTGGGTCGGAGTTAAAGATTAGTGGGGTGTTAGTGTCAGAGCTAAAGATTAGCTGGGGTGTTAGGATTTAGAGCTAAAGATTAGCTGGGGTGTTAGGACCAGAGCTAAAGATTAGCTAGGGTGTTAGGGCCGGAGCTAAAGATTAGTGGGATCTTAGGGTCAGAGAATGATAAGCTGGGGTGTTAGGGCCAGAGCTAAAGATTAGCCATGTTGAGGTGTTAGGAGCAGAGCTAAAGATTAGCCATGTTGGGATGTTAGGGCCAGAGCTTAAGATTAGAGGGATGTTAGGACGAGAGCTAAAGATTAGCCTTCCCTGTTTGGGAGCTATGACTAGAGCTAGACTTAAAAACAACCTCCAGATACTTTAAAACGGTAAAGTTATTTTTTCGTCAGGATCAACCAGTGGTTTTCTGACTAAACTAAAGGGCAGTAACCCACTACTCGAAGTAGATCAGTGTTCACTTTATTTATGTAGAAGTATGCAACAACTACACTACTACATTTGAAATGTATTACATTTTAATAAAAGTAGACACAATATTTAAAGGATATATATTGACATTTAAAAAAAATTCATTTGAAAAATAAAAAATCTAAAATTTGGCCAGTCGTTTTTTCGGCAGTGCAAGTTCATGTTTAATTTTGGACATTACTTAATGCGACAGTACGGGGTAACCCGCAATCGCCGTGTTGTCTCCCCTATCTTTTAGTAAAGATGTATTCATTTTTTAAAAAAATTTGGCCGGCAATGCCACTTAAAGGACATATAATATAAAAAAATTTCTTATCCAGTATTATTTAGAAATAAGAAAAATCACATCAAATATAGACCTTAAAGAATAGCGCATTTTATTCCAAATTCTAATATAAGCAGGTCAAATTGGAAAGAAATTATCACATAATAATAAATAGATGATTTTTTATATTATTTGGGGAAAGATATTGTATACTTTTGATTTTTTTTCAGATGCGGAAAAAGACACTCTATTTCCAAATGTTGAATTTTATTTGTAAATTGAGTTTTACAATTATAATCGAAAAAATAGTTTAACATATTTTTGTCAATATAAAAACTATATGGTATAAGCTGAACCAACGAACTGGCAATAATTATGTATATATTTAATATTTTTATAATTCTTAAGTAAATTACTTTTTAAAATACACTAGTCAATATACTTATTTGAGGTTCCTAAATGAAAAATAATCATTACTTTCTAAAAAACTATGTAAGAACGAAAGCAAATGTATCTCGTATAATTAATTGTAATGGGATGTTGCTTCGAATCCTATTTCTCAGTGGGTGCTCTAAACTACACATTAATTAATTAAACCTTTTAAATAATCATTAATTTAAAAAGAAAAATCAAACATGTTTTTTAAAGAATTAAGATTCAATAATTTATTTAAATCACAAATATAAAAAAATTAAAAAGTGCAACCAATGCAGCAACGAACAAATTAACCTCACTTTACTTACATTAACCACGCCCCGAGATCCGACAGTGGCTGAATGTTTATGTGGGGAAATTTATCCCTGCCAGTGAACGCAGTAATGGCAGACTTACCGCCCTGTTGTACAGACTTACCTCCCCTGTTGTAGTTCACGTTCATTAGACATGGCGTTCGAGTGGAGCTGCGTTGCTTCTGTTGCTTTTCGTTTTTTTTTCTCCGAGAGTTGTTTTGAAGAAAATATGGTTTTATTTGTGGTTTTATGAAGATGTTAAGAAAAAAGATGTGGGCCCCTAAATTAATTTTTTTTTTTTAAATCTTTGTTTGATGTTGTAGAACGCTGGTTGGGTTGGATAATTTTTGTGTGGCTGGTATCTAGGAAGTGGAAAAATAAAACAGTATGGGTGATATAGCGAACTATTTACGTTAACACTTTCATTTGGTTAGGGTAAAGTACAGAGCGCGTTAGACTACGGGTTAGAGTTTGTACAAGGCTGGGATCAACGATACTAGCTGTACTAAATGTAGGCATTGGTAACTGAAAATTGATAATCTGAGGTATCGATAATTGACAAGTATATAAGGTATCGATAACTGACAAGTACATACTGTCTCTAGAAAGTATTCTATTTTTTAAAATAATTTAGAATTCCATTAATTATTTCATTATTTCATTAGCGTCGATCAAACTTTTGAGTTACAATTTTCACAGGCGGAGCGATACATTTCTCCGCCCGTAGCGAACTATCAGTTTTGCGCCCCTCCCCGAGTTGGTATACAATAATTCACGTTGTCGATAAAAGCCCCTCTCCCCCACGTTTTGAGTTGAAGTAATATTTATACATTTTATATATAAATATTAATAAGAATCTAGTTTGTTGAAAATATTGAGGGCTAAGCGGAAAGAGGGGTTGGTGGGGGGGGGGGGGGGGGGGGTGACTGTCTGCGGTGCCTAACTGGTTGCACTGGTTGTCTGGTTGCATGACTGGTTGCACTAGTTGTCTATTTGCATGGCTGGTTTGACTGGTTGCACTGCCTAACCGTTTACACCGCCTGGCTGGTTACATAACTAGTTACTAGACCCAAAAGAAACCGTAAAAACAACAACAACAACAACGTTCACGGCCTTGGAATCTATCGACGCCAACCAAAAAAGAACAAACTCTTCTAGACATCACCAACCAACCTTGTCGCTTAGCCAGATTTCAACAAAACCGTAGGCAACACTTTAAAAACGACATACAAACATTTGATAGTCTGAACACACAAAACCAAAAATTTGAATTGTGTTTAACATTCACCTCTAGTTAAGAATGCTAGACTATGTAACCAAATTAGACGTTAAAACATTATTTAAAGAGTTAAAAATTATTCGATTAGCCAAGGGTTTAACAAGACACTCTACATTAGACAAACGCAAAGCGTGTACATTCTTGGCCATAAAAAAAAATAATTCCCGCGCAAGCTTACAAAAAAAAAAAAATAATTGTGCCACGATTTAGCAACACCCCAGCAAATGTCTGACTTATCGTTTGGTACCAAAAGCAAAAATAAACCCGTGTAGATATTATTTTTAAAATAACGCGTTAGCACCGCATGGAAATCTTAGAGCGGAAGTCGTCACCCGGACGTCTGCTGAAGGCTCTGTAAGATCGGACGATTGTAATGCTGGACGCCGCTGATAAAATGGCTGCGAACGCGCTTGATAAAATTTATTATTAAAAAAATTAATAAACAAATAAATAAGAACGCTGGGATTAGGGGTGGATTTAAAGGAAAGAGGTGAGAGGGGGGGGGGGGGGTAGAGTGGATAAAAAGGGGTGTCGGGGGCTGTCTTCGTACAAAAAGGTCTTTGTAAATAAAAAGACGGAATCTATGGAAAGCTGAAAAGAGTGAAACCTAGATTACAAGGCACATTGTTTTTTTTCTTCTGGGAATGACCGTCACGTATGGGGGAAAAAAAGAGGATGGGTGGTGGGATGGGGAAGGGGGGATCACGAATGATTGTTATGGCTAGTTACATTGGGATGGGGGAAGAAGGGGGGGGGGTTATGACCGTGGGTTGGGGGAGTCTCGTCTGGGAATGCCAGATAGGGCGGGCCGGCCATATCGGTGTGGGAGGGGGGGGAGGGGCGATCCGCCGATCCGTTACAGGATGAAGGGAGGAGGAGGGGGGGGGGGGTCAAGTTTTAAATAAACATTTGACACATATCCTATTCATAACTGTAAACGGCCCAGCTTAGTTGGATTCGTGAAGAATTATTCTCATTCCATGTCCTTACAATTTGGTTCTAATTCTATTGAGATCACTGCTGCCCTTTGCTCTACTTCCAACATTAAAACAAAGTAAAAAAGTAAAGAATCCCTTTAGACCATTGGGCAGATGAAGATCAGTTCATATGTTTCTTGACCTTGGTAGATGAAGGGAAGGTGTCGCCAGCACTTTGCCCAACTGCCTTTACTTTTCCTAACATGAGTTAGGTACCCATCAGAGCTGGGTGGACTCAGGGACGTTTTACTGACTTGGACCCGAGACTTTTGGGTTAGGAGCCTAGCGGTTTACCGTTCAGGCGACGTCGTCCCATCCAATATTAAAATGATTACCTTAATTAACATGTCTGTTTATATTTGATTATTTATAATAACGAAAGAAAATATTGCTAGAAAAAATGTGTAAACCCATTTAGCGAATTCAGTTTTATGCTGAATTTCAAAGGTGTTTCATATCAGTAGTTTTAAATGGTTTCTACTATATCTTATTTATTTCTGCAGAGGCGTTTTCTATGGTGGTTCCAGCAAGGTGCTCCACCCCTGTAGGCACATTATTTGTATAAATAGTAGGCACATTATTTGTATAAATATATAAATAAATAAATTACACAATCGAGAAATCACTTTGACTATGCTGCATATTTGGTTAACTAGTATCTACACTGATGAATACTAGTCTGTTTGGTTAACTAGAGTTTACACTGTTTGGTTAACACGTGTTTTTATAACCGGTACCCCAGGTGGCGCCCCCCCCCCCGGGCCCACACCGCGTTGAGAGAGTGTGGGCTTTTGAGGGAATCGCTCGGTAGAATCTACCTCATCAGAGGTGGGCTTTGTTTAAAGGGGGGAGGAGTTTTTTTTTTTCAAACGGAGGAGAAAGGGGAGGAGGGGGAGGGCTGAAAGTGGGAGACATCTAATACTTGGGGTGAATGTTGATTGTTCTCTTGATTAGGGTTCTCGTGTTACCAGCGAGATGGGGTGTGTGCATGTGTGTGTGTGTGTGTGTGTCAGTGGGTCTGTGTGTGCGTTTGAGTATGTGTGAGTAAGTGTGTCCGTGTGGGTATGTGTGTGTGTATGTGTGAGTGTGTGTGTGTGTGTGTGAATCTTTGTCTGTGTGTCTGTGAATGTGTAAGTGAGTGTGAGTTAATGAGTGTGTGTGTGAATGTGTGTGTGAGTGTGTGTGTGAATCTTTGTGTGTGTGAGTGTGAGTGTGTGTGTGTGAGTGGGCGTGTGTGTGTGTGTGAGTTGTTCCAGAGTTGAGACGTGTCCAGTCTGAGATATCCCGATAGGAGAGGGGTAGGAGAGGAATTTAGGGTAACTCATATAAAATGGTGGACAGGAGGCGTATAGTATAGGCAAATGGGAGAGGGGGTGTGAGAGGAGTGTAGGGTAGCCAACAACGAGTGGCTGAGGAGTGGGAGTGAGGACTTTAAGGTAGCCCGCAAATAGTGGGTAGGGGTGGGAGTGAAGAGTGGGTGAGGGGTGGGAGTGAGGACTTTAAGGTAGCCCAGTTAGAGTGGGTGAGGGGTGGTAGTGAGGACTTTAAGGTAGCCCGCAAATAGTGGGTGGGGGTGGGAGTGAAGAGTGGGTGAGGGGTGGCAATGAGGACTTTGGGGTAGCCCAGTTAGAGTGGGTGAGGGGTGGTAATGAGGACTTTAAGATAGCCCGCAAATAGTGGGTGGGGGTGGGAGTGAGGACTTTAAGGTGGCCCGCAAATAGTGGGTAGGGGTGGGAGTGAAGAGTGGGTGAGGGGTGGGAGTGAGGACTTTAAGGTGGCCCGCAAATAGTGGGTAGGGGTGGGAGTGAAGAGTGGGTGAGGGGTGGGAGTGAGGACTTTAAGGTAGCCCAGTTAGAGTGGGTGAGGGGTGGTAGTGAGGACTTTAAGATAGCCCGCAAATAGTGGGTGGGGGTGGGAGTGAAGAGTGGGTGAGGGGTGGCAATGAGGACTTTGGGGTAGCCCACACAGAGTGTGGGAGAAGAGAAGTGGAAGTAATTTAAGGTAGCCCATATAAGGGTGGGGTGAGGGTTAGGGTTAGAAAGACTATTTGTTGGTGGGGGTAAATTGAGGCGTGTGTGGCTGCCCCACACAGTGTAGCGGTGGGGTGGAGCTGATGAGCTTAATGCAGTGTAGGGATACATAATTGACATTATCTCCATTGTTAGGGGGAGGGGGTTGGTTTCGTGTAGGCTATAAGTGGGATGTTTCAGGTAACCCACATGAGGTGTGAGAGAAGGTACAAAGTTGTGGGAGTTAAGTAGAACCCATTCTGGGAGGGTGCTACAGTGGGAGCTAGAGCTAACTTTGGGAGGAGGGTATTGAGGGAGGTAGAGTTAGAGGGGAGGGCTAGGATATTTTTTCAGCCTCAGACATGTGATTTACAACGTCAGTTTGCATGGCATGTTCGCTTAAGTATTACAGTTTTTATCATCGGCTTGTGAGGACTGATACATATTTACAATACTAATGCTTCTTTCTTAGTTGTAGCCTACTTTCATGGCGTGGTGGGCTGAGGGGTGTTTTGGGAATTTAATTTTTGTTTTTTTTTGTTTTGGGCATTTAAATAATTTGATCTCAGATGGTACAATTGAATAGTGTTAAGTGAGCACCTACTTTGGAATTTAGCGTTAAATTAATAATACTTAATGCTTTTAAGTAACAAAGTGTTTTAAATTTTGAATCGCTGTTTAAATAAATGTTGTCAGAAAAGAAAGGATAAGCATTTTTACAATTTGAAACTATAAAAAAATATATATAATTTTTAAAGATTCTTTAAAAAATAATTATTATAAAAGTTTAAAAAAATTTTATGCATTCATTTTTTTTAAATGTTAAGGGTTTTCCCCCCTGAAGGTACGGGAGATAACTCTCCCCTTACAAATTAAGTGG